ACTAACTTTCTCGCCTTAAGGTACAAAATAAAATGGCCCTCATAGTTGAACTGTTTTTCCACTATATAACTTGCTTAATAGGAAATTTGAACTTGACTACCTACAATGTATTGATGCATAACAAGCATGAACCCATTTCATACCTAGAATGACATTAAAACTACCATGTCTAACGAAAATAGGTCAACCATGGCACTCTTGTGATTGATGGAAATTTTACAAATCACGATAGACTCGTTCAACTAGAATATCATTACCAACAGGTGTAGAAACACTGAAGGGCTCACTATGTTTCTCATGAATAACATAAAAATTCATTGCAACATAAGGAGTTACAAAGGATAAACTCGCTCCTATGTCTAGAAAAACATAAACATAAAATTTAAAGACTTGGATCATACCAGTAACAACTTTTCCTTTTCTTAGGGCACTATTTTATAAAAACTGATCGTTCTTGCCACACTTGAAGCAACCAGTGAAGTCATCACGACACCCCTTAGTAGATCCTAACACACGTAGCACATGCAGGAGTCTTAGTACCTCTATTATGCCTTACTACCCTCGAATGTAGAGGTCCAGCTTTGAAGTATTGAGAATTCTGACTATTGTACACACATTTGTTCTTGGGTGCAGGTGCACTTACAGATGATAGAGCAGTTTATTTCTACTTATATTGGAAAGAAGAACATTTCACATTACTCTTTTGCTGCTCGGATTCATTCCTGAATGTCTTAGCCCTCTTATTGTTAAAATCTTCTCTATCCCTTTGTTTGTCCTCCTCAACTTATTCTGCATAGATCATTAGTCGTGTTATGTCCATATCCACTATAAGCATAGCTGCTTGCCTTCCTTACTTGGCAAACGACACAACCCAACAATTAACATACTCATCTTTCTCCTCATATCAACAACCATTTCTTTGTTTCTCTTAGCTCACGGGAAAAAAATGCCTCAAAAGTCACTCTCAAAAACAACCAAACTCACAATCAGTTACGCGTAAGCACGAGTTAGAAAGAAAATTTTTAATAGATAAAACTCTAATGCATAAAATGAGCATGAAAGAAGTGAAGGGATTTCCTAAATATTGCAGCCTTCTAATTATATATGTGGCTCGCTTCACACCAATAACTAAGAATCAATAGACACGACTTCATAGACTCCCTAGGACTCTTGAATTTTAGGCTCTGATACCAAGTTTGTTACGCTCTAATCCTACACCCTGGACGTTGTTGGCACTCGAGAACTATTGTTGGCCCCAAGTGAACCCTTGTCCTGACTTACTTACTCAAAGGAAGACTTTAATCATTAATAAAATGATTGACATGCTAAATAACTCAACTGTCTCAAACTAAACTACTAATGTTTTAAAAATAAACATTTAACTTAGTCAAAATGGCAACTCAAATATGTAGATAAGTCAATTACAAAATGATGAAAAATTAACTAACATCTGATTGACTATCTATGAAGCCTCTAAAACAACTAAGATGGATGTCAGGACAGGCCCACGACATCTTAATGAACTATCTAATGATGCAAGCAAATAAAAGGGGTACTTAAGAAGCAAGGAGGCTCACCAACAAATTCTAGAGCTCAACTAGAATCAATGATGTGTTGGATTTTAATCATGGTTACCTAGATCTGCATCATAATACGATGTTGGAAAACTGACATCAGTACGTTGAATGTACGAATATTCGAGTTGGAATGTTAAACATAATATAAGCTTGAAAAGAATCCAAAAGAAACAATTATCTTATCTCTTCTCAACTAATGAATAAATTAACTCAATATAAAGTAATAAAACGCATGCAATATATAGAAGACTTAATTGTACTCATATAATATATAGAAAACTTAGTTCGTCAAAGAAATGCAATAACAAACTCAATTGTACTTGTATAATAATGTAATATAATTTATATGTGAGTTTTTTTAACTGACACCCACCACTCTGAGCCTAAGTGGTGCTACAACATCTTGCCCACGTTGCCAAAATTGTCTTATAATTTGTCGTCATATAGGAAACTTAACTAAGGGGATCCACTAGTATATGTTAAAACATCTTAAGAAGTCATCTAAAAAGTATGATCCTTAACTACCCACGATGGCTACATGGTTTATGGGAGGTTGTGAGTTATCTGAACTCTCTCCCATATTTGTGCTCAATACTACTCTCAAAACATACTTAGCTCATATATTTGTATAAACAAAACTCTTTCTTTTGTTTGAGATAATTACTCAAAACATAGCTTAAAAGCTCTCTTGGAAATCAATTTTTCCTCTTTACTGAAAAACTAACTCAAATGCTCTTGAAGAAATCAAAGTTTCATGTTTAGTGAAAAGCTATCTCAAAAGCTATTTTGGAAATCAAAGTTTTATCTTTACTAAAAAACTAGCTCAAATGTTCTTTTTGAATTCTCAGTTTCCTTGCTTACTTAAATGTGAAAACATTTACTCTTTCGCAATACATAGTCCCGAAATACTCTTTTGAAGAAATGACTTCAATCTCTACTCTTTACACAATTCAAAACTTAAGTCTTAAAACAAAGATAAAACATTCGTAGAAGACTATTGAAAACTTTATGAACTTCTCTTGACTTAACTCTTAAATTTCCTTCAATTTGAATTAATGGATTCAAGGATAATGATTTGTATAGAGTAGATCTCATGATGTTTAGGAATGAAGTTAGATAGTTAATCATGAGAAACAATCAAGAAATCACTGTTTGGGAACTACTCCGCGGCGTATAATTTAAATATTAGGTAGCAAATTAACTTTTGAGGCAAAGAAATCCTGACCTCTTCACGAAGCGAAGAGAAGTTACACTTCTGAGGAATGCGGAACTAGTACATAGTATTAAGTTCCCTTTAGATTTAGACACTCAGTATGTATACACAAAAACCTAACTCAAACAACTCAAGAGAACAACATTTTGACATCAAGGAACTCTTTAATCTCAACCTAAATCAAGAACGAAGGCCTCAAAAACAACATTTAAGATTCATCAACTTTCAAATTTCTAGAATGAACTTCGCTGAAATAAATATGATTAGCACGTGGGTTAATAACTCAATTCTATGAAAGACTCACATACCTCGTAGGGATCACGCCTTGTCAAAATCAATGAGCCTAACTTCAAGAACTTGAAAACTCCTCGCTCCTTCTCCTATTTTCTCCTCTTCGTTTCTCTTCTTTAAAAACTCTAACTCCTACAGTTGTGCACATTCTTTACATTTTTACTAAACAAAAACAAACTCGCCCTTTGACACCAAGAGATAAGAGTTGATTCTTGGCGATGAATTGGTGAAAGGAATTGATGAGAGAAAGTTCTCGAACTAGGTTACGACCAATATGGAACCATATATCTTGATTTTTTATTACCTTCACTCAAAAAAGAATGATCATTGTCAACCTGAAAAATCTGATGTTCAATATCAAAATAGATGGAATAAATGTCTCTATTCCTAAATATTGTTTGAGAGAAGTGTTTGTTCTGCTTTATCCTTTCAATAATTACATTGAATAAAGACAAATTTATCCACTGGTATTTCAACGCTCGATCTCTACTCCTCGAAAGCTCAGTCACAATCTTTGTCTCTCTTAGGTCTAGAAAGATAAGATTCTTCATACAAAGCCAATCGGGAACCTTGCGATTATTGCTCCTTATACCTGGTTCCACTCAACTCTCCCTTTAGAGCTACCCTTGCCTGAAAGCAGAAGAGTAGTCTTGTCCGAAAGCCTCAGGAAAAAAGTCTGCTTAAAAGTAACAAGGTTTTGAAAGAAAGAAAGACCTTAAGGCAACTATAGCTATGAAGTTTGGTTAAAGTGACTAGTCTTTCTTATCCGAAAGCAAGCATGACAACAAGGGTGGGCTTAGGCAACTCGCTGGCATTACTCCCAATTAATGTGCAACCAACCTGTCCTTCCCGCTTCTTCCTTGAGATTCAATCTCTTAGAGCTTAATACTCGTTCTCAACACATTATATGTGTGTGTGTGTGTGTGAGTGTGTGTGTGTGTGTGTGTGTCTATATATATATATATACACACACACACACACTTTTTACTTCACTAGGGAGTTCTTTTGACTGATAACCATAACTATGAGTCTTGTGATGATACTACGCAACTAAAATGATGGATCCATTAAAAGGGCCTTCTTGACGCAATGAGGAGTCCTTCAAGTGTAGGTATGATCCTATCCTACGCTGCTTACGTAGTTTATAGGAATTGAGTTTCTGAACTTATACCCCATATCGATGCTCAATATATATATATATATATATATATATATATATATATATATATATATATATACACACACACACACACACACACACATACACACACATATGCTTTACTTTTATTGAGTTATATTTAGCCTCTCATTTTAGTTATACTTTCACTCAGTCATATTACATACTCGTACATTCATTGTACTAATTCATTCTAACTACATTCTATTATGCAGTTAAGGCATTTAGGAAGCGTTCCATTGAGATCACCTGGTCACTCTTAGCTTTCAGAATACTCCAGTCTTTAGTTCACTTTTAGTAGTTATTTAAGGTTGTCGTGGGTCTTGTCTCCGAATCTATCTTAAAATAATAGAGGATGCATAGATAGATAGTATTGAGAGTCTTTTAGAACTGCTATTCAAATGTTTTGTTAAAAATATTACTTCTTTCATTCAATATTTCAGACAGTTTAATTGAGTACTTTGACTTAATGATTTAATTTATCTTTTAAGTTTATATCTTCTTTAGTCACTATTCCACTAGGTAGTCACTCTTGTCAAGCGTTCGCTTTCGGACCAAAAATGGTTCTCGAATGTCGGTCACGTCTAAGGTGTAGGCTTGGAGTGTAAAAAGTATTTGCCGATATTTATAAACAAAATCAATATTTCCAAGTAATCAACTTAACTTTTCTCAAAGTCTCAGGTAATCATAATTAAAGACGGATTTTCTATCAAACTTTTTGATTGATTAAATCCCAGGAAGCTAAATTACTTGAGGCTTTTGTATAATCTTCATGAAAATTGTCAAGTAATTTACACTTTTCTTGTAATATGCATATTACATAAATAAATTGAATATCCAAATGCTACACGATAGTCATTTGTTCAAAATATATACTAGCTACCTCGTTTCATTATAACAATATATATTTCCATAAAATAGAAAAGTCATACTTGTTGATTTCCATTTTCCATCTTAATGGAATAACAAATTCTAGACTATGGATCTACTAAGTTCTATATATAGAGTTCTATATATAGATATTACCTTTTCATTTTACAAATGTTTTGCAACTTGCATTTCTAAGCTTTCAATCACATGCTCCAATTCAATAATATCCTCAACAGATGTGATCTTTTGTCTGAAGAGGTGAATTCCAGATTCAATTTTAGCTCCCATTTCCTCCAAAGTTTCATGCATTGTCATGTTTTTCTCATGTTCATTTTTCCATTTCCTCTTAATCGATCGATAGCCATCAAGTGACCTCAACAATTGTTCAGAGAGTGCCTTATTTGTTTCTATCTTTATTTCATGTTTTTCTTTACTACCTTCATGTAATCTTTCTACTAAACACTCATTTTTCTCCTTTAATTCGTTAATAAGATCCTCCATTTCACTCACTTCATGAACCTTTTTTGATAATTCCGCTGCCATGATTTCTTTTTCCTTCCCTAAGCTCCAACACATGACCTCAAGCCTCTTTCTTGCTGCCAAGCTTGCGTTTAGCTGCCTCTTTAATCTTTCTTTTTCATCGATCATTGCCTCATCCTGCTTCTTTTCCTTTCGAACATTATTAGTAAGCTTAACATCAGTGTAACACCGCCTTAGTTTAGATTCGGATAATCTCTTCTCACCAAAAGATTGACATTTCTTAATTCGTGTCCTAACATTATCAAGAATTGTCATCATAGTTGTCACCCGCAACATTCTTAAGCCATCTGTGTTATCTTTATTAGAAGCATCTTTATGGTCTTGAATTAACTTCAATAATAACTTAAAGTTTGCTGCAACACCTAAAAGAATAAACAAAACAATGAGAAAACATGGTGATCAAAATATTAAAATTATGTCTACTTTGCTTTATAGTGAATTACAAATAGTTGAAATTCTTATAAATATATGTTGGTGATGCAAATTTTTTCTTATAATAAAATAAATGCCTTAGGTGTTGAACTCTTTTTCTCTTCATATTTATTGATTAAGCAAAATCTTATTTAGATGATGGAGGAGTAATTAAAAAAACAAGACTATAACCAACCAAATAGAGAAAGAAAATTATAAATTAATATAAATATAAGAAAAAAAGTATTACCTTCTAAAGAGGAGTCATTATAGGATTGTTCAGACGTTGGAGAAGGAACTAAATCATGAAATGAATTTTCCTGAACATTATTCATGGTACAAATAATGTCAATTCTATAAATAAGCAAGGAAAATTTGAGATGATTATTATGAGAAAAATATTGAAATGAATGATTAATTTTGTGTGTTTTCTTTTTGTCTTTTAAATATTATTACAGAGATCCAAAGAAGATAGGTTGCTTTGCATACCTTCTCTTTGTTTCTCTCTTCGTGTTTTCTACCCTTGGTACATGATATTTTGTTTTTTCTTTCTATTTCTTTTAGTTATTTTTTGTTGTTTTTTTAAGCCCTTTTTCTTCTTTGTAATTTGTTGGTGTTAGATCATTAGGAAATGGTTGGCTCATGAAAGTTATTGTTGATAAATGTTTGGTAATTATTTAATGTATTCATTGACAGTTAGGTTTTTTTTTCAAGTATGTGAAAGTATTGACATATAATTTTAAAAATAAACTTAAAAAAGTGATATCAAGTAGATCCGGGAAATTCATATTATCAAGGGAATTAAATAAATTAAGTTACTACTTCTAAGAATTACATGTTATAAGTGTACAACACTTATACTTTACAATTAAATTCAGAAATTTACCTTTAGATTTGGCATAATTTGTAATATTGTGTACGTTAATATTAACATGACTAGCAAATAATGAAAAAATAATTGCGAAATTGAGAGAAAAGGGTAAATGCATACTTATATAAAAGTTGGATACATTAGCAAACATATAAATTTGACACGATTTTTCTTTTCGACACCTAAACTTAAAATTGTTCATATTGAACACTCAAAAATTATCCCATTAGACCCAAATATTGGTATGAAAAAAAAAAGTGTTGCTCACTTTGCTTAGGAGGCATTTGTGAGTCTCAAATAATAGTTTGTTTATTTATTGGGAAAATTTATTATTTTCTCTAATCACTATTAAATCAGGAGGTCATAAAAGGTAAAGAAAATCTCAACTACACACTCCAACTTTACGGGTGTCCTATCACCTCCGGACTACTTAATGACTCATTAAACGTTGAGTTGGCACAGAGAGTAAATGCATTCTTTTTGAGATAGTGAGAAACAAAAAAACAAGTAAACACAATATGTTTATTATATTTTTGTTATAATTAAATAGTATTATATATTATTTATTATTTATTTATATATTTAAGCAAAACGACACCATTTTAATAGAGGATATTACTTTCCTTTTCTTTGGAGAAAAAGAATCAGCAGTCCCAATCCTATCTTTAATGGATGATAAATTTTATATTTGTTAGAGAAACTCATCGAATGAGCCGACAATGAAGAGGAAATAATCACTGGAAAAGATGAATTCGCTGATAAATTTGAAAATTCATACTTGAGCAAGCTCTTTAAAAATGGTTGTCCATAGATTTATATTTTGTTTTTCATTCGTCAATTTGTTTAGTTCAAATCAATTGATTTAGATGTTTTAAACTCAAGAACTCAATAATGGAATCCTCATAAAGGATTCAATTTAGTCTCCAAAAATTAGTAATTGCAAATGAACATTTTCATATTTAGATTCAAACTAAGAAACCCACATTTCTTTTTTGATTTTGATAGTATTGTACATCAATATATTTTCTAGCTTTTGGCTCAAATCTTTACACCAAATTCGAAATCAATTAACAAGTAATGTATAGATTCCATACACCAAAATTAATCTCACTCACAGATTCGCACAAATTCGATGAACACGATAGAGAACATTAAGTTTTTTCTTCAAATATTCAGAAATTAATAAAGCCAAGAAAACAACCAAATGATTTTGAGTCAAGTATTATAGCAATCTAAAATTTGATGGATCAATTGTGTATATATAAATTTTACAAATTTTTTTAAAAAAAATTAGAATAAAGATGAAAGGAGGAACTAAGAATATAAAAAAAAAAAATTATTGGCAGCTGGTTGTGCGTGTCCATCACTGCCAGTGATGAATGTGGGTGTTCAGTTTTAACGTGTTATTTATTCCATTAAAAATAGTTCAAGGCGGTAATAGATCCTCTATGAAGTGTAAGCGTGTAGTTGGGGTTTCGAATATAGATTGGAGGGTTTTAGACCATTTCCTCTAAAAGTTATAAATAATTTTCTTTAAATATCAGATAAATTTAGAATATGAAAGATATTAAACTTTCATATACAACAAAACCTTAATAAATTAATATTGTTTGGACCATGAAATATATTATTTGTAGATGTATTATTTAATCAATAAATTAATATTTATTAATTTAAATAGAATTCTCAGATTTAACCTTGTGATTATGGGATAATAAGAGTTCTATAAATGAATTATTGCAACAACTTTTATCGTAGGAAATTGGAAGGTTGATGTAGTGAGATAAAATAATTCATGAAAGATTAATGTTTTGGATGCTATCAATTTTGCAATGTAGGCTTAGACTACAAATTTAATGTTTAGCAAGAGACAATAACAAATTATTTTTGATACTACAGTAAAATTTGTTTGAAGGATGAAATCTTATAGAACTTGAATCAATCCACTTGTGAAAACATCATTTATGAAATTGAGGTCATGATTAATGATCATGATTACTTAAATATAATAGACATCAATAACCTATTCGATTACCATGTGTAAATAATACATGTTCAAAGGTCCAGAATTTAGAAGAAATTGTGGATCTCATAGAATAACCATGTTGATGATGAATTTGAAGATGATATAATACATTTGAAACCAGTTACCCGTAAGGAAACAATTATCGGATCTAGAAATCTTTGCAATTTTATGGTGCAATTTGAAAACACAATATCAAAATTTTTGGATGCAAAAAATAGAGTTAGAGATAAACTTCAACTATATTGAAAGTGTAACTGCAACACCTCGGTCTTAGAAAGTGCTAATTTTAAAAGGAACTAAATTAGAAATAATCAATTTGAGATTTGTACATGTTAGACTTCAACGGTGAGTTTTGGTTCAACTTCAAACGACCATAACTTTCAATAAATGATCAATTAGGTGGTCCATGTGATATCAAATGAAATATCTTTGAGCCAACACCACTAAGTTTGCTAAATTCTGAGTTTGGATGAACGAGATATGCCTGTTTGAGTACAACCTTTCTAGTTAAGAAAGTTCATTCATTTTAAGGAGGGTTATATTGGCCTATTAATTACCCCACTATCCCCACACGTTTTTCACCCAATCAGGGTCATAGCTAATTAAAGTTAGTTTACGCTAAAGTCTAAAATGTTTGGAAGGATAGGGCAAAGTTCAAGAAGAGGAAAAGGAGAAAAGCTTGAGGCGTTCAAAATTTCTTGTTATCTTTGAAGAATATTGCCAAGGGTTTGATCCTTTCGAGGTATGTAATTTTTCATAGTGAAGGGTTTGTTCACCCTCACGCTAATCATGAGTTTTCAATTTCGAGTTCACCCATGAGATTGAGTATACTGAGTTCTTTGATGATTTATTACTTCACTCTTGAATATGAAGTTTTGATGAGATCTTAAGGTGGAAATTCTATGTTTTAGGATTTTTCTTCAGAAATTTTTAGTACGTTTTCATTGAATTGTGTTGGGTTTATGAATTTGAGGAAATATTGAGTAAAATAATCAATTGTAGGTGGATTAGAATAAAAAATCAAAGAGTAAAAATTTGTCGGGTTTTCTGGCTAGGGCCTGGGGAGATGCGCCACTCATACACTTGGGGGGATGGTATGTCGCACCTTTAATGTGCCAGAATTGGTGGTTCCATACGCTTGGTTCACCTGCCCCCCCCCCCCATTACTTTTCAATCAAACTGTCTGAGTTCTTTTAAAAGGTATCTTCACTCTCTTCCTGTTTATAACTATCCAAAGTACATCTAATCATTGAGAAATCCTATATATCCTAATCATAATTGTTGAATTCACATTTCAAATTCAAGATATAGTTAAGAGTAAAGTTCAAGAGAATCCTTTGAGTCATTTTGAGAAGTCTTTTACAAACTTTTAAGACTTGTTTTAAGACTTGGGTACTGAGCATGAGGATGAGTAGAGTTGAGATCATGTTTCCAAAATGAATATAAGGGAACTAAATATTTCCGAATGTAAATGTTTAGGTTTATAAATGAGAGGAAACCTTAATTTCTATGTTAGTTCATGTGGAGTTTCTAATCATAATCTCTTTTAAGAGAACCTTCTGAGTAAAAATGTTTAAGTTTGAGGACGAGGAAATGTTTTTAAACATACGAGCAAGAGTTATATTATTGGGAGCAGTATTAAGCACAGTGTGGACGAGTTCATACAAATCAAAGTCCTTATGAAACCATGTATACCAACGTGGGTAAAGGGTCATACTTTTTAGATGATTTCTTATTGCTTTTTAAGCATAGATTTGAGGATGTCTTATAATCTGGCAAGTTATAGGAGAGTTCTGGCAATGTGGTCGAGACATTTTATCATCACATAATTCATAGTGATAGTTATCGTTAGAGAATCGTGAAAAGTTTAATATTGTACTTAATATACATTGAGTTATAATCTATTATTTTAAAAGCTTTCTTTATACTACATATTTATTGTTGCTTTATATTGAATTTTGTTGAGTATTTCTGAGTTGAGTATCCTTGAGTTCAGATAAGGTGAGTATGTTCTTCCCTTTTTATTAGTTCAAGTTTATGCTTGTACTTTAGAATTCACCTCGCATGTTCGTACATTCAATGTATTAACGCGATTTGGCCTGCGTATTTTTATGATGCAGATACAAGTATTCAAGGTCATCAATGGGATCTCCGTTGATACCACTTTCCATCCCAATTAGCTTTGGTGAGCCTCATTGTTTTCAAAAGATTCCATATTTACTTTCAGTCTTGTTAGTAAATCGTGATTCTTGTCTCGGCTTCCATCATAGTTATTAAAGGCTTCATAGACAATAGTTTTTTTAGAAATCTTTTCCATTTCCAATCATTAATGTTCAAGACTTGAGTTGCCTCTTTTTGCTAGTTGAATGTTTTTCTAAATATTCTGAATTATCTATTTTGATAATTTTTGAGAAACCTTTACTTTTGATTTCATATAATATTGAGTAAGACTTCCGCCAAGTACTGAGCAAGTTCAAAGGTTTGCTTGGGAACCATCAATAGTTCTCAGGTGTTAGCCAAGCCTAGGGTATAGGCTCATGGCATATGACAAAATTGGCATCAGAGCATAGATTTCAAGAGACCTAGGGTGTCGATGAAGTTGCATCTATAGAGTCTTGGTTATCGGTGAGAAGCGAGCCACATATATAATTA